AAAACACTCTATATATCAGTCACATAATCACCACTACAGCACCTGCCTTAAGATATCGTCCTGTTTGACATGAAGAAATTGATATGTAGAGGGTATATGGACTTGAACAAGTATCAGAATGAGGTGTTAAAACACAGGACTCAAACCGAGGTCATTCTAGCTCCAGAGCCCCACTCACAGTAGAGTCATGGAGAACATGAGAGTTAGTGATCAAAGAAGCAGAAGGAGAACAGCTTACAAAGGAAAAAGTCCAGGACAGGGAGGAGAAGACCCAGAGGAGAGAAAGTCACCAGGCTGAAAGACTCCCTACAAGGGAGGACACAAGAATGCACTCCATTAACTACCCTTCTCTAATTTTCTTCATTCAGCTCCTGATCCCACACATCCGCTACATAATGGAGATCAACATCGGGGGACGGACCCAATTAGACTCTGATAGTGGAATATTTAGTCAGGTAAAGAGGAAATGGGGACATGGGTCTTTCATCTCTCTACAACCTCCTACCATCTTCACAGACTCAGACCACCTGGTATGAATGTCCTGATCCTTAAACCTATGTGCCTGTTCCTTTTATATCTTTAATTTTACAAACCCCAACACTGAACCCCTTATATAAGATTCTGCAGCTCTTTTATTCCGTGAGACCTCTCAACTCTCAAATTCCAGATAATGAGCACAAGCGGAGGGCCCCATGTACAGTTGCTGTGTCGGGCTATGGCTAAGCTGACCTACCGCTCCCTCTGTCCTCCTGAAGATCTGGCTGACCGGGGCTTGCTGGAAATCCCAAGTGCTCTCTATGCCCATGACGCTTTACGGCTCTGGGAGATCATTGCCCGGTGGGTAAGAGTGGTAGCTGAGAAATGGAGAGCCATTGGGGAGAGGGAAAGAGGGTCTCTGTCTTGAGGTCAGCATGGGGCATAAGGAACATGAAAGAAGGTCCAGACAGGAGGAGCAGAGGACTCAATCCTGGGAGAGATGAGGAATGGTGAAGAGATAGTGAGTTGGATGTGAAAAAGAGGAAAATAGAATAGAAAAATAGAAAGCGTAGGTTGGGAAACTTGGGAATGAGGAGATGGGGATTGAGAAGAACCAGGGTTTTGTTAGGAAGAATGGTTATTAATCGTGTTTAAGGAACTATTAAAACTAAGGATTCACATTTTATTCCTTTCTAAACTAGTGTGTAGTGTGAGCTCAGGGATGTCCCAAGAAGTAAGTCTTGTATAACCTGTCCCCAGATACAGTGGAAGAAGCTTGGCTGAGGCCACAGAAAAGGAGTAGCAGTCAGAGGTTAGAGCTTCTGCTCTCAAGGAACTCAGCTCCCTTCTCCTCTGGGCAGGTACGTGGAGGGGATTGTCCACCTTTCCTACCATGGGGATGACGTCGTGAGAGGGGACCCTGAGCTGCAGGCCTGGTGTCGGGAGATCACTGAGGTGGGGCTGTGCCAGGCCCAGGACCGAGGTGAGATCCTTCCCCAGAGAACAGAACTCCTTGGACACTCTGCCCAGAGTCCCTTGTCAATCTTGCCCTTCTGGAGACATGTACCTAAAAACTCATCACCCTCTTGCCCCCCACACATGAAGCATATGAAGACCATTCCCACTTCATAAGTGTTAGGACTGTCCTACAAACTCAAGGATTTTCCTCCTCAAAGTAACTGATTATTAACCTTTATGACCATCCCCCATTCCTGACACTGATGCCCCCAACTTGCCACAGCATGGGGCTCAGTGGGTCCAGAACCACAACAAGTGGTGGATCTGCTCAGACCCTGCTTGTGCCCTCTGATGCTCTTCCTAAGAAAATAAGTGGGGAAATTTTTCCCACGAAATTCCATAATGATAATCTCTGGCTTTCTCTCCTTTCTCCTCTTGCCTGTTACTGTCCACTCCACACAGAGGATCCAAGCACACTGCACATTATCACAGTGCAGGGTCATTTGTAGGTGAAAACTGAATCTCAGATTTCCCTAGTCAGTACATTTCCTCACTAGGCTCTACCTACTACCTTCCATTCTTCCACTCCACATTTTAACCTATGAAGAAGAAATACAGTGTTTTTGAGCTTTCCCTAGTTTCATCCCCCTCTCTGTAGCACACATGGACCAACCTCATCTGTTTCAAATTGTCCTTCAGGCCCTGCCCCTACATACTTCGCACCAACACCTTCAATCCCATCCTCAGCCTGTGGAACAAGTACAAACATTTACTGGGAAGCTATTATGGCTGGGACATAGGAATACAAGGTTTAATATACCAATGCCAGACCTTTGGAGGGAGGTTTTCTTGGGAGGGTCTGGGAAACACCCCTACTACTCAGACCCTTTTAGTACCAAATATTCTCTGGTACTTTTTACTTCTGTCCTTCAGCATCCCATAACCCAAAAGATGCTTTTGCCTCTGCCTGGCCTTTCTCTTCCCATGAAATATCCACTTTAAGAATTTACAAAACACAGTCATATATAAGCTTTTATATATAAGCTTTAATCTCTGGTTCCACCATTCCTTTCCCTCAACTCTGAATGTTCCCTTTGCTCTATTATTCCTTCACTAGAGACCTGGTGCACGAAATTCATGCACAAAGTTGGGGGGGGGGTTGTTCCTCGGCCTGGTCTCTAACCAGAGATTCCTCCCCTCCTTCCATGCAACTACTAGGAAGATGCTTGTCCTGGGGCCTTCTCAGGGCCCCAGCCCATGACGACCTGCAGCTCAGGTACTCGGAGGCTTGGGCTCTCAGGTCCTGTTTTCCCACCAGAGGTGGTGTGCATCAGCTGCCATGGGAGCCACGCCTCAGGAATTGCCCCCCCTTAGACCATACTACTTGCAAGTATGTTGAGGGTGGGGGGTGGCCTCGGCGACAGTGATTTGATGTCTATGGTGTGCCCGCCAGACACCGTCCCCCACCACGGTGCCATGATGGTTGCCTCTTGACTGTGGATCTATAGGCAGAGGATCCTGGCACTCATAGGGCTCCGTCAGCATCAGGATCTGGAAAGATCCATTTTTCCGGGTCCTCCCCTTTCTCTGCATGGTCGGGGCGCTGATGCTGGGCTTGTGTCCCACAGGCCCCTTCTCTCCTTCTGGGGGGCGGACACTGAGCATGTGTCCCGCCCCCAGTCCTCTGGCCAGAGGCCCCTTTTCTCCCTCTGCAGCCATGCCTTTTTAAAATTTACTTTTGGAGAAATGATAAGGGTGAGAGAGAGAAACATAGCTGTTTTTGAGGAACAGGACTATTGAACAGCTGCCTCCCGCATGCCCTCTAATGGAGCCCGCCATCCATAAGCTGGCATGTGCATTGTCCAGGAATTGAATCAGCAACCTTTCGGTGCACAGAATAATGCCCAACCAACTGAGCCAAACCAACAACGGTGGTTGCTTCCATGTCTTGGTTATGATAAATAATGCTGCAATGAGCTTGGGATGCAGATATCTTTACAAGTCAGTGTTCTTGTTTCCTTTGGATAAATACCAGAAGTGTATTTGCTGGATCTATATTTAAATTGTTTAAAAGAATTCCCATACCAGTTTCCATAGTGGCTTCACCAATTTTCATTCCCATTAACAATGCACAAGGCTTCTCTTTTCTCCACTGCATTACCAATACTGGTTATTCCTTGCCTTTCTATCATAATCATTCTAACAGGTGTGAGGTGACATCTCATTATGATTTTGATTTACATTTCCCTGATGATTAGTGATGAGCACTTTTTCATATACCTGTTGGCCATCTGTTAGTCTTTGGGAAAATGTCTATTCAGATCTTCTGTGCACTTTTTAATTGGACTTCTGGTTTATTATGCTATTGAGTTGAATGAGCTCTTTATATATTTTGGATATTACCCCCCTATTAGATATGTGATTTCCAAATATTTTCTCCCATTCGGGAGGATGCCTTTTTATTTCATTGACAGTTAACTTTGCTGTGCAAAAGATATTTAGCCTGATGTAGTTCCATTTGCTTTTGGTGCCTTTGCTTTATCAAATCCAAATGTCATCATCGAGACTGTTATTTTATCTAGTAGTATTATGGTTTCAGGACTTGAATCTATTTTTCCTTAATTTGTATGTGTGGCATAAAAGAGCAGTCCAGTTTCATTCCGTTGCATGTGGCTGCCAGTTTTCTCAACACCATTTATTGAAGACATTGTCCTCTTCCCATTGTATATTCCTGGCTCCCTTTTTGGGCTCACCTTTCTGTTTTATTGATTTATGTGCCTGCTGTTTGCCCAACAGCATCCTGATTTGATCAATTTTGTTTTGTCATACAGTTTGAAATCAGGAAGCAGAATGAGGGTACCTTGAACACTGTTCTTCTCTCTTAAGATTTCTGTTGCTATTTGGGGTTTCACTGAATTCATAAATTATAGATTGATTTATTCCATTTCTTTGAAGAATGCAATTGTAATTACATAGGGATTGCATTGAGTATATAGGTTGCCTTGGGTAGTATGGATATTTTAACAATATTAATTCTTCCAATCCATGACAATAGAATATGTTTCCATTTAATTATCTTCAATTTCTTTTTTCAGTGTCTTACAGTTTTCAGTGTATAGGTATTTCACCTCCTTGGTTCAATGTATTCCTAGCTATTTTTTTTGTTGTTGCAGTATATATTTTATATGAATAAATGCACACTAATCATAACATATGGGTATCTCCAGACATCATTACTTCCTTCCTTATCTTTTTCAGGGATTGTAGTTTCTAAACTTTGGTATTTCTTCTCCTAGGTTTTCCTATCTCCTTCCAGTCCCGGGCTCAGCTCTGCCATTTCCTTACCATGTGCATTTTCAGATGCACTGCCCAGCATGCAGCAGTCAACTTCAGCCAGGTATGGACAACTGAAAGCCTGGGTCCCTGAGGGAAAGTGCCTGGATGAGGGTATGTTTGAAGGAAAGAGTTGGGAGCTAGAGCCCTGCACATCAGAGTGTCTGGTTGACTCCAGAATCCTCCCCCCTTGGCAGGACTGGTTGTTCTGGGTCCCTAATGCCCCATGCACAATGCGGATGCCCCCTCCTACCACCAAGGAAGATGTGACAATGGCCACACTGATGGGCTCGCTCCCAAATGCCCAGCAGAGCTGTCTTCAGATGCTTTTCGTGAGGCAAGTGCACCGGCAGAAGCCAAACATGGTAAGAGGGGATTTGAGGAATTCTGGGGCAGTGGTAATGGAAATGAAAATTCAGACTGTGGGGCTGGGCTCTGAAACTAGAAGCTGATCAATCTTTCTTTTTCTGCTTCAGGTACTCCTGGGGCATCACACAGAAGAATATTTCTCAGGCTCTGAGCCCAAGGCTGTTTTAAGACAATTTCAAGCAGATCTGGACCACCTGGAAAGGGAGATAGTGGCCCGGAATGAGCAGCTAGACCTTCCCTATGAATACCTGAAGCCCAGCTGCATAGAGCTTAACAGTGATGCTTTCTGAGCCCCAGTATAAAGGCCTCTCAAAGACCACAGGCCAATACTAGGGTTAACATTTTCCTTTTGAGTTTTATGTTTTCCTGCATCTGAGTTGCTATGGTTCCATTTTCTTTTCTGTTTGAATTTCCTCCTTGAATATATCACTAGTCTGAGGCACTGTTCCCACTTTCTGGTCATCTAACAGAATGACATTTAACTTGAAAATACATTTCTTAAAGAGATCAATATTCACTCATGTAGCCTTCTCCTATCTCTGGAAAATTTGTCTTTTTCATTTATTATATAATCATGTGGTCCAGGTGCCCACAATTATTGCCTGACCTTTCAGTTCATGCCAAGGCTGAAGCACCATGGTGGCTGGTACCACGGATCTCTTGCCCACCCAGTGGGGGGAGCTGAGCCCTCTCTGGAAAAGAAACATGGGTTTTCAAAAATATGAGATCAATGTCTGGGCCCCTCCAGCAGGTGAGGGGTTCCTGAGGCAGGTGCTTGGTGTGGAGCCCATGGGGGCATAGGCTACTAAGGAGACAGAACTAAACCTCACATCACCCTGCTTGGCCCCGGATGATGGCTGGTTAACCAGAGATGGGTAAGATTCCTCAAGGAAGGAACAACCTAAGACAGGCACAGTCGCAGAGGGGCCATCAGGAGAGAACTTGGGGGTCAACAGAGGTGGGGCACAGACCCCCCCTGCAACATGGCAGGCACCTGAACCTTCTCCCATTCTGAGGGAGGTCTCCTGCCCCCTTGGCTGCTTTGCTTTCCATGCACAGCTCAAAGTGGGACCCAGGTAATAGACAGATACTTGGCTGACAGCAGCTGCCCTCTCACTGCAACAAGACTTATTTGAGAGGTCTCATACCCATGGTGTGGCCAAGTGGGGTTTTAATATCCAAGTCAAGCCTAGCAGCAGTTGAGATAGATTTCTTAATATTGCATGAGATAAATATTCAATTCCAATTTTTCTCTTGGGAAAATCTATTATACCAGCATAGTTTATTCAAGAGCCCATCCTCTCTCACTGATCTATGATGCTAGTATATATCACTTTGCCAAATGAGAATGGAAATATTTTTTTCTAATCTATGTATTCATTAATGTGGCTGTCTTACTCTATAACATACTGACATAATTACTACAACTTTTTAAATTAAAATAACCTACTATTAGGTCTAGTAATAATTAATGTCGTTTTCTAATACCTTTTTTAAATCGAATTTATTTAAACCATACAACAAAATTTAATCATCAATATAGTTGCTGTTGTTTTCTACTACTTGTGCCCAATGCTCAGGAAGCATTTTAATCCCTCTGTTGCAAAATTCTTGTGATTTTGATGCAAAAAATTCGGTCAATGCATTTTTGAGGCATTCTTCATTATTAAATTTTTTTCCAAGAAGAAAGTTTTGCAAAGAACGAAACAAATGGTAATCGGAAGGGGCAATATCAGGAGAATATGCAGGTTGAGGGCGAACTTCCCATTCCAACTGGTGCAGTTTTTCAGCAGTGATTCTTGCAGTATGCGGTCGTGCGTTATTGTGGTGAAGAATTACGCCCTTCCGATTAATCAGCGTGGGTTCTTTTTCTCTTAAAGCTTGGGCTAACCTTTCCAATTGGGCACTATACACTGCACTTGTAATGGTTTGGTTAGATGGTAAAAGTTCATAATGAAGAATTCCTTTAAAATTCCACCAAACACACAACATCACTTTTTTCGCATGCAAGTCAGGTTTTGGCGTGGGCTGCGGAACCTCATTTTTGTCCAACCATTGAGGCCGCCTTTTCAAATTAACATACAGCACCCATTTTTCATCTCCGGTAACAATTTGCTCTAAAAATGGCAAACGGTTTTGACGAGAGAGGAGCGAACTGCAAATTGTGACTCTTTGATTACGGTTGTTGTCGGTCAACTCATGAGGAACCCATTTTCCAAACTTTTGGACTTTGCCAAGTGCACGCAATTGATTGGATATTGTTTTTTGTGAACAATTTAAAGTTGTCGCAAGCTCTTGTTGGGTAATTTGAGGATTTTGCACCAAAAGAGCTTGAAGAGCTTCTTGATCAAAATTGGACACACGGCCTCGACCACTCTTGTCATCTAACGAAAAATTTCCCTCGCGAAATTTCTCAAACCAACGCTGGCATTTCTGGCGCTAACTGCATCTTGACCAAGAGCACTACAGATGTTTTTTGCAGCCTCACTTGCTTTTCTTCCTAATTGGAACTCGTAAAGCATGCAGTGCCGAATATGCTCTTCATCCGCCATCTTCTTAGCCCTAGTTTTGCAACAAAAACCAAACCAAACACAAACTTTTTCAAGCAAAACTTGTTAATTGCACTTCACATGTTCTGTAGATACCACATGTTTGAAGGTTATGTCAATACAAGTCAACACCAAGCAAGATTTTAAACGAATGTTTAAAAACGACATTAATTATTACTAGACCCGATATTTTGTAGCATATATCCATCAAATTTGTCTTTTAGAGGTGACAGCTTTTCTTGGACTTGGGATCTTTCATATATATATATATATATATATATATATATATATATATATATATATTAAAATCAGCTTGTTATTATCCAAATATAGTGTGTTATGGTTTATTTGTGTCAGTGTATATAAACATTTATATAAAGTGTTTAGTCTTAAATCAACTTTGCATTCTTGAGATATATCCAATTTGCCATTGTATACACTGTTGAATTCCATTATAGTATCTCAGGCATAATAAGAACCAGGTGCCCTTTCAAACCAACCAATCAGCTTCCCAATCCTTTCTGGCTTCATTTTGTTTATCTCTATAACCAATCCATTTACTAGATCATCTGGGTTCTGGGATGCTTATTGAATCTGATCACTTACCCAGGATTGGTACCTCCCCTTTATGGTTGCTATTGTACTTCCTATGGGCATGCCCCACAACAGTATCTCCTCTTATGTTATCTTGGCTTCAATTGAATAGGATCCAATCAATTGGATCAAACCTTCCCTTTGATTGGATCATATTTCAGATACATACAACAATAAAGATAAATTTTTAAAATGATAGATTTTTAAAAGAAATAAAACCTTAAAAAAATCTTTACTCTGATTTGAGGGGAAAAACACTTAATCAAGCTTCTGCTTTGAGATGGAGAAAAGAACCTACTTTTTTATCTTATATTATTCCCAAAGTACAATAATCATGATGCTAAAATAATAACAAAGACTCAAACAGACATCTCTCTATTTCTATTTAAATAGAAAATAAATTTTCCAAACACCCCTCTGTCAGCCAAAGTTGGCCATATGACTAACTGTAGTGTATAGTATATGAAAAGAAGTGATGTGTGCCATTGCTGACTTCCTTAAAACAATGGGCTTGCTCTCTATGGTCTCTGTTTAGTTTCCTGTAGTTTGGAATGTTAACGTGATAGTAGTAAACTAGCTTCAATCATGTAAATTAAGACAATACCATAGGTGTTTTGCTTGTTGACTGCATTTATCAGAACCACTAACATACCCTGGAGAGTTCCCTTACTCTAGAGCATTATGTACAAGAGAAATAAGTGTCTATTTTGTTGGAGGCACTCTATTCTCATTACAGCAGATTAGCCTAACACACAAGAGAAACGGGTCTTCATTCTAAGGCAGTAGTCAATAAATAGGGTCCTTGTAGAGTCAATAAGTACTATTCTGCAGTCAATAAGTACTGTGCTTGTAGAGCTTCAGGCTCACCGACAAATTGCCTCAGTGTTAATCATAAATAATAATAATAATAATAATAATGATAATAAAGATCTTCAGGGAGTTAGGTAAGCTACCCCATACAGGGACAAGTCCAAGATTTAAAAAAAAAAAAAGGAGAAAAAAAATGATAACATAAGAAATATAATTCAGCAAACACAATCATTTAAAAACAAATACTGTATTGGTGGTATGTCTCGGTGGTTGAGTGTTGACCTGTTTACTGCCTCTGGAGGGTCATTAATACTAGGTCTTCTCGCCTGACTTAATAATGAACTACATATGTGTGTGCTTACACACACACACACACACACACACACACACACACTAGTATATGTACATATACACACATATCTGTGTTTATATTGAAATCACCATTCTAATTCATTGTCAGAGGATGATTCTAGCCTCTTACTCACCCTCTTATATGTAACTTCTCACTCCAGCAGTAAGAAACCTGGGTCCCAACAGTTACCATACATTTACTTAATTGCTCAATTGACAATATCTTTATAGAGTATCATAATTGCTAATGAGAAATATCCACTACAGTATAATGCTTGTGTACACTTGATTTTGCATTTAGTCTTATAGTTTTCACACATGCCCCAAATTACTAGGTTATATGTAATGTGGTATTTTTAAAAGTATATCTAGCCAAATTTTTATTCAAATATAAAGGTGTATTACAAATATTCTCAAGCAATCAAAGCCTCTGAAGGAGTTCCATACAAGGATTCTCACACTTGGAGAGTGCCTAGAAATTGAAAAATAAAAACTAGAGAGAGACAAAGAATGGAATGCAAATGCTTGGAAAAGGAATGAATTCGTATAGAACAGGAACCTCTAAAGAAGCTGAAGATATTACTAGAGAAGAAGAGGAACAGAAAAGGCAACAGCAGCAACTGTCTTATGAACAAGAAAAAAAAAAGGAATTCTTTGAAAAGCACAGGTAATGTTGATCATAGGCGAGATGATTCTTCCTGAAGGGAGAATGAAAAGTTATGTCCAGATGCAGCTGCACAACTCAACCATGGATCTGACTACTTTCACCAACAGAACAGATTGAATGACTTTGATCACCAAGAGAGAAGGACAGGTTTCCTGAGAATTGAACAGTACAGCCTTCATTTTTTTAAAAATATAATCCTCACTGGAGGGTATTTTTTCCATTGATTTTTAGATAGAGTGAAAAAGTGTGTGTGTGGGGGAGGGGCCTGGAGGGAAGAAATATAAATATGAAAGAGACACATGAATTACTTGCCTCCTGC